CCCCGCTTGCTAAAGCATGCCAGCTCCATCTCACCAGCTGCACAGCCTCAGCACAGGGCCGCAGAAGGGAAGGTGGTTCTGTGAGCTTGCGTGGGCCAGGAGTGTGGGGAGCTGGGTTTTAGTCCTTGCTCTTTGTCAGTGAGCTGTGCAAGCCTGGGCTGGTCACCCGCCCCCTCTGAGCCGGGCTCTCCTTGTCTGTCACAGAAGTGGCAGCAAGTCCTTTCTGCTGAGAAACCCATAACTGCAAAAGCCCTGAAAAGGACACGGAGATCTAAATGAGCCAGTGGGACACTGGGGGGTGGTCCCATCTCACTTCCAGAAAGGGGCTTGCAGGGAAGTGTCAGTGCCACTGCAGGCTCCCAGAATCTTCCAGCCATGATTTTCCTGAAGGACGCTCACCCCGTCCACCCAGGGCTTGGTGCACTCTGCTGAGTGTGGCCCTGTGAGTACTGGGGGCGTCCTGGAGCTGAGAGGCACAGGAATCTCCCTCTCACCCATTTGACCTTTGGAGGAGCCCAGAAGAAAGAAAAAAACGAAACAAAAGCAACCTCATTCTCTAGCTTGTATGCAAAGCACGGGAATCCTAGTATTAGCTCTCAGTGGATTCATGTGCTTCCTCGCTGGTGCCAAACCGATGATTCTACATGCTGTAGAGGAATGTTTCCACCAGCTAGATGAACCCAACGGTCAGGTCCATCAGTTCCCCTGGGGAGCCACCCTCCATAAGCCACTGAGTGTGGGCAGACCAGCAGCCCCCGTCAACGCTCAGTCCGATAAACCAAAACCCTGCTCGCCGCAGAACCCTGGGGCTGGGAAGCGGGAGCTGTTTGGGCACAACACCAGCCTCAGGTTAATGTTTTGCTCCAGTGATGTCCCACCCTTCCCAGCATGGTAAACCGTTCCCAGCTTCATGCACCCCAATCCTGTCAATTGTAGGTGTGGTGGACTCAGGTGGATGGAGACTTGGTCCTAGGGGGGGGGGGTGCCTGTGGGGAGAAGAGGAAGCCTCTCCCCCACACAAGAACCCCGGTTTCTAAACGGCATGAAGGTTTTCTGTAAAATCTGAATTGTGACCAGTTTCTTTGGTTGGAAGGATGAGGCATCACTTTGCTGCTATCACTGCAGGAGGAGGGGGCCGTTCGGAGGAGTGGGTGTGGCGGTGTCTGATGTGGGAGTAGATTGTGGTCCCTTGGTCAAGAGGACTAAGGAGAAGGGCATGAGTAGCCTCGGCCACAGACACTACCTACCATCCAGAACACTTGGTGTCCCCGTGGCTGTGGACACTGCTCCAGAAAAATAAAAGGATGACCTGGGAGCCAGCCTCTGTCGTGTCTTGCTGTGTAGTGTGTCTGGTGGGGACTACAGGACGTGGAGTCACTGGGTTCAAGGGCAGACTGCCACTTCCCTGGCCCGGTTTCCTCTGAAAGGCCTGAAGACAGTGTGAGGAAGGGGCCTCTTTATTAGCATTCTGAGGTGAGGGGACTTGTCCCAGTTTGAATTGTTAGCACTATCACATGGTGATCCGGCTTAGGTGTTAATAAGAACCCAGTTGCCACTGAATCTGTTTGGACTCTTAATAATACTGGCAATGAGATTCTTGATTAGAGAGGGAGGGGCATTTACACGTGGGCAATCAGTTTAGAGAGCCTGCACATGTTGACAGCAAGTGGTGGCATTAAGTGTTCATGACACACAGGATAAATCCAAGGGTGGAAAGCCATGTTAAGATGGCCATTTTCTGGCTTTTTCTGAATTGCTTTATGTAACAGATCCCTTTCCCATCGTTTATAAGGTTAAGTGTGATTACAAGCTTAATTAAACCATACTGCTCTTTAGGCTCTATATGCACGAGGATTTTTCCACTCTGCCATATTTTCCAGGCAGCTTCTCCATAACTCTGGTCAATAATTTCAGTAACAATTTGAACCCCGTGAGAGTTGGGGTTAGATTTAACTAGTGACAGTCCTGTTCCCTCTGATGTGGTCCCTCTGGGACCAACTGTACATCTGCTGGTTGGATCTGCGTTCCTCCTGGTGGCGGGACTGAGTGATACATTTGTGTGTCCCTTTGGACTGAAAATGCGCTCCTCAGATTTCTTTGGGTGGGGCTCAAAGCCAGCCCCGCGCCCCAGTTCCCTGTTGGGTAGCGTTCTTCGCTAATGGAAACCCTTCCCTCCTGATTTTGAATGACACTAGCTTGCCCAGGGTTCCCTTTTATACAGTGCATGCAGCGTCCATCCAGTGACCCTGGGCCATTCTCAGTCGTTGAGTGCAATGAGGGGCATTGGCAGCATTCTCTCTGGAACTGTCCCACTTTCCTGCAGTTAAAACATTTTCCCTTTGGTTTAGCATCCTTTGCCTTAGCAGCAGCTAGAAGGTCTGCCTTATATGTTTCAGACCCAATTCATCTGCAAATCTTAATATAGTCTAAGACTGCCCTACTTTCCTGTACGGACAGATTGCAGTTTTGCGATTGTGGCTGGCATTATAAGCTAAAGTCTGCAGCAGGCTTTCAGCTACTTTATTGATGACAGTTTTAAGGACTGCTTCCTACAAGACACAGATTCTACATGCATCATCATTCTGCGGCTGTGTTGCAGTGGAATGGGCCGCCTTTCTCCTGATGGCAGTATCTGTTCCCAAGCTCACAAGCAATGATCACAGATCTGTGAAAGTTCTTGCCCAGTAATCTTCAATTGGGCTTCAATGGTAATAAAATCTCTGTTCCCTAATCACTGAGTTTCCCCTATAGACACACCCTGTTCTGTATTTCTGGAAATTCATATTTTGACTCCACTCCACCAGGTTCTGTGTTGTAAGTAAGCCGATAGAGGAAGGCAAGCTTTTGTTAACGATTTCCAATAGGCAGACAGGAAACAGCCTCCGGCATGGACCTAATCATACCAATTCCGAAACACTAGTCTACTGCATCGTTTTTAACTGCTGCTTTTGTCTCTCAATGTCTTGGGGAGCATTACAATGACCTTCCTCAAATCCTTGTGGGTTGTTAGCCTAGGGAGGTCTGTTAGCATAGGGAGCCAGTCTGGTCTCCAGTTGGGTAACTGCCACCCCTCCCAACTGGTGGGAGCCCCAGCACAGCCAAACTACCAACCAGTGCAGCACACCCACGGCCTACCCAGATTCATCAGAATAAAACAACCAGAGTGAAACCAATGCAATCAACCAATGACCAAAATAATGTCTTAATACCTCAAGGAGCAGAAATCACCAAGATGACTTAGCAAGTTGTCAAAACGTCCCGGAGAAGCGATGGCAACAGAACTACTCAATAAGGAATTCAAAAGACTTACACTCTGAGTCCAAAAGTATCGTTGCTAAGTCAAAGAAACTTGTATTAAACACAAATACTAAATTTGAAGCTATTGCTTCTCAACATAGGTCTGTACACTTCTGAAGCCAGTGTTCCATATCTCTCTCTACCCCGTCCCTACAGGGTTCTGCCTGTGTCGGTTTATGACCACAACTCAATTTATGGTCCTTTTCAATGTTCCCCTTCCCCCCAAAATCTGGAGGGGCAAGATCAGGGTTGTAGGTTTTACGAGGTAGGGTTTCACAGTAAATTTCTCCTAAGGCAGCCCTTACTCCCCTTGAAGAATAAGCAGGTGCATTGTGATAGAAAAAATAATCCCTCACATTTCCTCTTTCCTGAACTTTGTCCTCAAAGGCTCCCATGATCTTTGTACGTCCAAGAAAACCTACCAAGACCACCTCTTTGGAACCCCCACCCCCAAAACAGTCACTGTAACCTTATGAGCTGACGTCTCTGCCTTGAATTTAATTGGTGCAGAAGGCACACTCAAAATCCACTGTTTGGATTGGACTTTTTAAGGCACGCTATTGAGATTAAGACATGTACTCCTGAGAGAATTTCTCTACAGCCATCCACTGATTGCAAAAAAAAAAAAAATGTTTAGGCATCTTTTATTTGGAATAACCTTGTACAGATATAAACACACTTAGTAATAATTTTTTTAATTTCCTCTTATAGACCTAAAACTCACTGCTATCAAGTAATTCTCACACATGGTGGCCTTAAAAAAGGGGTTTTGAG